GGCGAGGGAGGCCTTGCCCCGCTCCCAGAGCCCTCTGGTAAAGCTCGGGATCAGCACTGAGACCGAGTGCCCAGCTCAGTGGTCAGGGGTTCACTTTCCCCTGCTAACTAAAGTTATTCAGAGTTCTTATTTTCTCTGTTCAGTCACGTAAGTTTGAGCCAGTACTGGGGACTCAGATCAGTGAGCAGTGGCTTCTCCCTTGCCACTGTCACAGGCTGTTGACCTGCAGCAGAAGGGCACCTCTGCTGTGCCCTCTGTTCCCTGGATGCTCGTTGCAGTTTTCCCCTGTGCGTGGGAGCTGGGCTGCTCCATTCCTCCCCTGCTGTGGCCAGAAGGTCGAGAGAGGGGATTCTGCCCCTCTGCTCCACTCTGGTGAGACCCCACCAGGGGAGTCCTGCGTCCAGCTCTGGAGCCCTCAGAACAGGAAAGACATGGACCTGTTGGAGCAGGTCCAGAGGAGGCCACAAAAATGATCAGAGGAATGGAATATCAGTCCTATGAAGAATGGCTGACAGAGTTGGTGCTGTTCAGCCTGGAGAAGAGAAGGCTCCAGCGAAAGCTTATTGCGGCCTTTCAGTACTTAAAGGGAACTTATAAGAAGGATGGGCACAAAGTTTTTGGCAGTTGTGATGGAACAAGGGGCAATGATTTTAAACTGAAAGAGGATAGATTTAGACTAAGTATAAGGAAGAAACATTTTATTATGAGGGTGGTGAAACACTGGCACAGATTGTCCAGAGAGCTGGTCGATGCCCTAGCCTTGGAAACACTCCAGGTCAGGTTGGAAGGGGCTCTGAGCAACCCTGCTCCAGTGGAAGAAGTCCCTGCTCATGGCAAGGGGGTTGGACTAGATGGCCTTTAGAGGTCCCTTCCAATCGGAACCATCCTGTGAAATTTAGCAAAGCTTCTTGCTCACCCCCGGTTTGCCCTACAGGTGACCAAAGCGGTCAGAGCTGGAGAAGTAGACGCCAAGACCCGTCGCCAGATCTTTGATGCCATCGGATTCACGTTTCCAAATCGCCTGCTCAGCTCCCGGCAGCCGCCGGCGGGCTGCCCCGAGCACACCTTCCGGGCGCTGGGCCTGACCCTGTTGGGCGGCTTCTGACCCGACCCGGTCACTCCCAGATCCTGAACAAAATCCCAACCTTCAATGACATCCTGGTTTCCCCCTGTGATCCGGACAGCGCGTCCATGATCGACGATGTCTACCAGTGCCTGAGTGCTGTCATGGCCACTGCCAGGGGCCCCAGGGAGCTGGTGACCAAAGGGACGGTGTCTGCCCTATGCCAGGCCTATGTGAATTGCAGTTACGGCTCTGACCGTGCCCTCGCGCTGCTGTTGGGGCTGTTGGCCGTAGCAGAGGCGAAGTGCTGGCAAAGAGACGCTCCCCACCTCCTGGCCGTGCTGAGCAAGCTCTCCGGTGATTTTCTCAGGGCTGAAGACATGACTAAATTTGAGCTGTGTGACATTCTGCCTCACTTCATCCCCTTGTCACCACCCCTCACAGAGGACTCGCAGGGCTGCGAGTGCCTCCACAGACTTTACACAGGGCTGGCTGACATCTTGGGCAGTAAGCTCAGCCAGTCGCAGCGGGACCCTGCTCTGAAGCTCGCTGCCTGCCTCGTCCAAGCCTGTGGGTCAGAGTGGATCCCAGCAGGGAGTGCTGGAAGCAAGTTCCTGGCCTTGCTGGTGAATTTGGCTTGTGTGGAGGTCCGCCTGACCCTGGAGGAGCCAGATCCCGTGGAGGCGGAGGGGAAAAAAGAAGTGGTAACAGCCTGCTACGTCCTTATGGAGATGGGGATCCAGGAGTGCCTGAGAGAAGAGAAACCACTGCTAGAGGAGGTGCAGAAAATGCAACTCATGAGGATCATGGAGGAGGCGTTTGGAGCTGTAATGTTCTACTTGAGGCAGGTAGTGTAGAGCTTTCAAGCAAAGAGCATGTTTTTGCGGCTTTCTCTGGGAGGCTTTGATAGCTGTTCCCTGGGGTGCTGAACGGGTGCTCAGCACCTCCATCTTGGCTCCCTGTGGTTTTCCTGTCTGTGGTAGCTCTATAGGACAGTGGCCCTATCATGTCATTCTCTGTCTGCTTTCTTCTTCCTACAGGTTAAACAGGAGGAGCTACAAGATCCTTTTATATTTGCTTCTGTTCGAATCCTTGGAGCCTGGATGGCAGAAGAGACATCTGCCCTCAAGCAGGAAATCTGCGAGCTCTTGCCTTTCCTGGTTCGTTATGCCAAGAAGCTTTTCAAAGAGGGCAGCACAGCTGCGAGTCTTCCTCAGCCCGAGCTGGTCAGCACCGAGGGCTCTGGCTTACCCCAGGATGCACTGAGGTATGCGTTTTAAGCACAGAATTGAAGCGTTTTAGCACAAACCTGCTCAAATCTTCTTCTGTGTACCAATTCCATGGCTTTTTTCCCCTCCCATGTGGGTGTAAATGCAGGGCTTAGGCCCATGTGGTCTTGTGTTTCCAATTCTTTCCCCTCCCAGATTTCTGCTACCTGGCTTTTGCCATTTAACAGCAGAGGACAGGCCACGGGACATCCTCATCTCGGAAGGGGCACCAGCACTGCTGTGTGAGTACTTCCTCCAGCAGTGGGAGGTGCTGACCACCGAGCCCGGGTCTCTGGCTCCGCTGACAAGCGCTGAAATGAGTCTGCAGACGGCGTGTGGGATTTTCCTGAACCTGGTCGTGACTGCACCGGACCTCATCAGGTAACAGAGCCGCAGGAGCCTGCTTTAAGATTGTCAGTGGAAGGAAAGAGGGTACAGTGTGAAATGAATCTTTGAAGACAGTGGGCTGGAAAAGGGATGTCCCTTTTCCAACACCAATCACATCACTTTTTTGGTGCTGCATTTAACCTTGACATTTTCAGGTGCTTCTGGCTCTGCTCAGGAAATGCATCTCAGGGTTTGTTTTCTCTCTAGGCAAGACAAAACCTTTTCCTCCTTGATGGACATGTTGCTGAAGTCCCTTCCTCTTCTGCTGCCCCAGAAAGACCACCTGGTTCTAGCAGCCAACATTGCCACTCTGGGCCTGATGATGGCCAGGCTCCTGGCAAGTTCCGCAGGTGAGAAGGGTTCCCACTGGCAGAGCTGCACATTGCTCAGCGTGGGCAGAGACCAGGTCTGGGTGGTTGGGCTGGAGAAAGCAAGTTCAAGGGAAACGGGTCCGGTTTCTGTCTTTTCCAGAGACAGAACAAAAAACCTGGAGGAGTGAGGAATGTGCAGAAAATTCAGCAGGCTGGGGGCTGGGATGAAGCGATGCTAGGGCAAGAGGATGGTGTTCTGCTCTCCCCAAGAGCCCTGCTGCAGACAGACCCACCCAAGGGTCCCTCCTTGGGCCGGGCGAGCTCTGCATCGAGTCATTCATCTCCTTTTTCTTCCAGTTCTTCAGGGGACGCAGTCTGCCAAGGAATTTTTCAGAGCTGCCATTTTCTTCCTATCAGAAGCCCACACCGCTCAAGCAGACCCTGGCAGCGACGGCTTGGCCGTGGCCGTGTCACCCGCCTACGCGCACGCCTGGGCCGTCGCTGCTTTCCAGGGCGTGTTGGTGGAGCTGGTCGGAGCCAGCAAGGCGTGCAGGGACGTGCTCCTGGCCCACCGCGGCGGGGAGTGGGCCAAACTCGACGGCCAGCGCTGGAGCAGTGTCTGTCGGAGCCGTGAAGAGCCAGCAGCACCCTGCTGTGGGAGATGAGGCCAGACACCTGCACAAGATCTGTTCGATATTTCTCACCCACCCTTTGGTGCCGAATGGGGACAAAAAAAACCCATTTAAATGACCAAACTTTGTGAAGCTGGAGTGATGCAGCAGAGCTCAGCGGCATTTGCGCTGTCCATGACCTTACGTGCAGAACTCTTGCTGCCTCAGAACATTTCAGCGTGCACCTGCTTGACCTCCTGTCAGTATTTCTGTTTAAAAACAACCTGATTTATTATTAAAGATGTTTTCTGTTGCTTCGTTTTTTAAAATCCTGCAGTGTTGGGACTTATTTCTGCCCAGGGCCCCGGGAAATTGCCTGCTTCTCCTGCTAACGTGCTCTCCCAGTTTTCTCACAGTAGCCCCTCAGGATGACACCTTGTCTGCTGCCAGAGGCTGCACGTTGGTAAAGGAACTTGGTGTTCTTGTAGAGGGCTGCAGAAGGCAGGAACGGGAAAAGCTTTGCCAGTAGCAATGAGAACAGCTCTAACATGGCGCAGACCTGTCCTGTTCCGGGGTGAAGATGTGCCAAGGCCCTTTTACCGTGCTGAGGGACGATATCCCCCACTTATATGCACGACTGGTGCCGTGGTCCCAAATTCATGCCTAGAAAACCTTCACAGCACCACTTGCTGTTGCCTCCTTCGCCCCGTAAAACACGCCCGGCACGGCGGTGAGGGTTTGTGCCTGCTCAGGCTCCCTCTCGCTGCGGGGCTGGGCTGTTCAGGGGGAGTTCTCCACACTTGCAAGGTGAGGATTTCGAATCACAGAATCATCAAGGTTAGAAAAGACCTCTAAGATCATCAAGTCCAACTATCAACCCGTCACCAGTGTGCCCACTAAACCTGCAGGATTCAGCCTGCAAAGGCCTGGGCTCTCTCCAGAGCCCTCGGGTACGGGTTGCGAGAGCAGAAAGGAGTGAATTACCCCTCGCTGACTCCCTGCGGGCCCAGGAGCCGTTCGCTTTACCCAAGAGAAAGGCCACACGCACTATGGGAGTAACTCGCTCGTACCACTGGCTGCCAGCTCCCGGGTACCCCGAGAGCCCGAGCGCAGAGACCCCCGCAAAGCCCAGCCGGGTGGTTTCGGAAAAAAAAAAAGCCCCCCCGCACGGAGCCTGGCTGCCCCCAAAACTCGTGCTGGGGGAGCTGCAAATCACCCAATGGAGAGGAAAATCGGGCGAGGACCTCTCTCGAAAGGGTGGCCGAGTCTGGGTGTATTCCTGCGCGATACATATTTTTAGCTCACTGTTTTATGAAAGCAAACACCTTACACAACCAGAGAGGAGGCATCTGCCATTGCTCGGGAGTATCTTCCTGATCTTTCCAGCTCAGCCCTGAAAAGTCGGTGCAAGTTGGAACAAGGGTTGGTGCTACCAGCAGCGAGAGACGCGAGCCAAGCAGGCAAATGAGCCTCCTGGCCTCGGAAAAGAGCAGAGCTCCGCGAGAGCGTGGGCTGGGAGAGTCTCCCCGCCCTGCCAAGAACACCTCAGCCCTGCACCACGGGGAAACATCAACGCGCTGGAAGAGGCAGAAACACCTCTCAGATTGTCAGAGAAAATATCCAAACCCTCAGATGCTTTACCTTCGGCTGTTCCCAGTCCTGGACGCTGCTCTGCCTCTGGTCAAAGGGCGTGGGCTTCCCATTAGTGATAGGCTGTCATTAGCACTAATGAGAGATATGCGCCTGTATCAGCAGGAGGGTGCTCTCCTCTCTCCCCCCAGTGCTGCACTGGGCTCGCTGTGGTCACTGGTGCTGGCTTGGCTGTCGTCCATCCCCACGGGCAGTGGTGGGAGCTCCCACAGCACCCAACCTGGGATCCAGGCTGGGCCTGCGGGACCCCGTCCAAGAGCAGAGCAGTCCTGGACCCAGGGGTCTTCAGCTGCTGGTCTTGACTTCCAGGGCAGGCTACCTGCTCACGGCATAGCCACGCTCCCTGGGAGCAAACCATGAGCCTGGGCGAGAGCTCCAGTTTATCCTTCTCCACATCCCAGGGCGGGGGGTGGTGGGCACCCGCAGGTGCCTGGAGAGGACCAGCTGCCCCTCGTTCTCACACTCTTCGGTGGGAAGTCCCATCAGGTGTGAGAAGGACCACCCCAGCCTGGCCAGAGCTGGGCCCTCCCAGAGACCCCCGTGCTCATCATGGACTTATCTCTTTGCATAACACGACACACGCTCCTCTCGGCTGCCTGCAAGCTGGCAGGGGACGGGGTGAGACACCAGCCTTGCGCTGGGACGTTGCCAGGCTGAATGCTGGAGGAGATGCCTTGCGTAGATGCCAGGGCTCCGTGAGCAATCGCCCAGCTCTCTGGCCCCAGGACACCACTTTCCGAACACGTTCTCGGACAGGGCACCCCTAACAGGCTGTTTTCCCTCCTGAGAGCCCTGGGCTCTGACATCACGGAGCGCAGCACGTTCAGGAGAGGAGGGCGCAGGAGCTGGTGGAGGCCTCCTGCCACGTCGACGTCTCCGTTGGCTCTGCCTGTGCCGGTCTGCAGGCCCCGGCACGCCCGGGGCGGCTCAGCCCAGCGCGAGGGAGCTGGTGCCCCAGCAGCCTGGCCAAGGCTTCAAAGGCTGGAGGTGCCTCCTCGGCCACCCTGAGCTTTGGAAGCCCCAC